ATCATCAAGCATCCTTGAATAAAGCATACAGGCACGGCGTGTAGGCGCGATGAAAACATTAACAACTGCTGAGATGAACAAAGATGAGGGAAAACAAAAAAGTACAAAAACTTAAAATCTAAACCTAATAGACCTAGTTTGAAGCTACAGGCATGAAAAATGTTTATGGACCATTTATGTTTTACCTTTGACGACTCATTGAAGTAATGCATTGAAGTAACGTTAGACATTTGCTTTGACATTTCAACAGCCCATTTTAGCTTTTGTAGTAAAAGAGCATTATAAGTGGCAAATTTGCAGACCACTGAGTGTGACATTTTTAAACTGTGTTTTTGGCTTTGTATGGGTAGAAAACATTTTCTACTCTATCAGGGACAGGATATCATTTTTGCAGATCCCCCAGGTATATCTTTTGTCAACAGTTGGAGCTTCAAATTGAAACTCTGGCATGCAGATAAAGCACTGAGGTAATGGCAGAGAGAAACATTTGCTAAGCAGTGACTGATGAGCTGAGAATATAAGATGAAGCTTGATACAGCATGATAACTTTGATTGGCCATAACACAATGGCAGCACTTACAGAAAACAAATCATTTTTCATTATCTTTAAAAATGCAGCCTTTCCATATTTGATGGGGTGGGCCTAACTTAGGCTAACTTAGGCCTACCAGTGCCTATGCCCCAGTCTTAAACATCAAGATTCCTATTTGGTTCTTGAATAAAGTGTACTTTTATAGGAAAACGATTTAATTGGTGTAGAACCTTTACATAATGAAGATTCTTTACATTTTCATTGAAGGGTTCTGTAAGGTAGTGGTTCTTAATCCTGGTCCTGGAGGCACCCTGTCCTGTCCATTTTAGTGTTATCTGTTCCCAGCACATCTGAATCAAATCTACTGCTAATTAACAGGTCCTTCCTGAGTTGAAGTATATTTGAGCAAGGTAGGGGGCCTCCATGACCAAGGTTGAAAACCACTGCTTTAGCCACTAAGGACTGCTCTGAAAACCCTTGATGGTCCACATTTTACTCTAATCCAGTGTGCAACACACTTGTATTATATTTTCAATGTTGTTAATGGCTTGGTCCAAGTTTATTTAGAGCTGGATTACAGCAAAAAAGTGGACTGGCTGAGGGCTCCTGAGGACTGGTTTAAGAACCACAGCATTAGAGAACTAAAAGTGGTTCTTCTATGGCACCATTCCAAACAATCCTTTTAAGGCATCTTTATTTGAAAAAAATAAACGTTTGAGAGCTTTCAGTATATACAATGCTGTACAAATGTCTTAGGCAGACATGAAATTGTTGATAAAATATTGGCAATAAGTGTATATTTGCCTGTAGAAGCACCATATAACATTAGAATAAATACAAATACACAAAATCACAATTTATTGTATATTTGTATTTAACAAATAAATGCTTACTGCCCAGATAAATAGGTTTATATAAAATATTCTCAGACCTAAGGCTTTTGCAGACCTAAGGCGTTCAGTATTTACTGCTTGAATTTCACATGAATAGTACTGACACAGTAACACAGTAACACAGTTACACAGTGAAATCTAAGTTTACATTTAATCAGAAAATCAAGAACCACATTTGTGACCTAAAATTGATTTCCCACACTATTGAGCCATTGCAGCTTCCAGAGGTGGCAGCAGTTCACAAGTCCCTTACTCAGGTAGGAGTAAAAATACTCTGGTTAAAAAAAAATACTCTGGTAAAAGTGAAGGTATGGTTTACATTTTCTACTCAAGTAAAAGTATAAAAATGCATGCTCCTAGATGTCTGCCCTGCGATGGACTGGCGACCGGTCCAGGGTGTATCCTGCATTCCGCCCAATGACAGCTGGGATAGGCTCCAGCACCCCACCGCGACCCAGAAGGATAAGCGGTTTAGATGATGTATGTATGTATGTATGTATGCTCCTAGATGTACTTAAAGTAAAAAAAGTGAAAGTATTTTTTTAAAAAGCATTTCTAATTAAAAGAAACAGGGTTTTATTTACTGAGTGTTAATTAGATATATGCAATCATGACATGGAGCATAAATAATGGTTTTTGTTAGACCTGCTTGCATCATCTGCAAAATCATACAAATGATTTTAAATATCAGGGTTTTTGTGGAGCACATGCCAAGAATTGCTTTTTAAACCAATCAGGTCAAATAGTTCTTGTAAGTAAGGCCCTAGACTGTGTTTTTTTATTTGCACCTTCCAGAATATGTCCTGGCTCACCTCTATTACTTTCTTTGGCTTCTATGACTTATCAGTCTCACTTGAAAGGAAAGCCAATCACATGTGACCTGTAGAAAAGTGCAGACATATATCTCAATAGATCATCCACACCCCATTCTGGTTTCACATGCAGTAGGCTTTCGATTTGCTAACAGATGAGATGCCTGAATAGAAGTTGCTACCAAAAAAAACAAAAATGGAAAAATAAAAACGTAGAGTAACAAGCCTGGCTTGAACATATGGCAAGTAGAAAGTAAAAAGTATTTAGTGACAGAATTACTCAAGTAAAGTACAGATATGTAAAAATTTTACAATAACAAAGTTACTTACACAAACTTCACTTATGTCAAAATAATAAAACGTGTCATTAACTGTGCGCTAAGTGTGTTTTGGTGTACTTGTTAGAGTGAAGTATGGGAAACTGAAAAACAAGGTATGAAGCAAATGACTGAATGCCAAATGAAAGCCTATTTCCTCTGTTAAACAGAAAACCGAGACAGATTTTTGAAAGACCTCAAATGACAGTCTGACTTGTTTGTGTAGGTCAGGCCTTTTCGCTGTGGGAGACTCCTTCACAAAGGCTCGACAACGGGAGGGAGACGCCCTCAAAATGGGTCAAACTGGAGAAACTAGGGCCAGACGCCATGTGAGATTAGCTGCTTGGGACATGAGAGACCGCCACTACAATGAATAATGTAGGAGCAGCTGCACATACAAGAGCAGGCTGAGCGCTCACACACCAATCCGCCTCACTGCACACCTGAGAGTCTCCATTAAGCCTGTGTGGGGCTACTCTGGTCCATTTTCCCCCCACGTGGGCAGTCTCTAATGGACGCACATCATCAATCAGCAGTCCATCCAGCTTCTGACCCACTCTATATCACTTCATTAGGCATAATATGCTCTTTTATGTTGTTAAGAATAGCTAGTGCAGTCCCCTTTTCAAGCCCATAAATTATGCTTAGTATTCACCATATGGCTGTGAAGAACTTTGAATACACTGCCTGTGTGTACGTCCAGTGATGGAGTGATTAATCTTGGCAGAGTAAGTGTAGTTGTCACTGAGTGTTATGTAAAATGTCAGCATATTTAAAATGTTGGTCTGGTTTTAAGCCTCTTTTTTAATTATTTGACTAGTATTTTATAGAGATGCTGCACTGCAAGAGCCTGGCAATTTAAAAAAAATTATAATCAGAAAAACTTTGTTGATAACTCAAGGTAGTGGTCATTACACTCATATGGCAGGACTTGATTTGCATTCTGTTTGAATTAATAGGGAATTCCACCAATTTCCCAAAACTCCTGTATAATTAAAAGGTTGAGATGTAAACAAAGTCATTCAGAGTGGTTTGATTTGAAATGATTCAGAGTAGAGAAGCTTTCCAGCTCTAAATTTCTTTACAGCGGTGTTGATAGGAACCAAGGGGTTGCAATGTCTACAATGCAAATATAGCCAGTTTATTTACTTTCCAAAGCAACTAGTGGACCTACACATCTCTTCTGAGTTTTTAATCTGAAAGAATAACTATTCTGCTTTACACTGCTTTTGCATGTACCTCTCCACCATGAATATATGTTATGTTTTAGCCAAAAACTTGTGTAAAAACTATTATAAAACAATGTCTCAGACATCAGGCACTGTGTTGCTAACAATTCATGTAATAACTTTCTGTGAGGGAACTTTTAGAGACATTAAATTCTTCAGCCCTCTGGTTCCTGTCACCACCACTGTGTACATTTCTGACTCAGTATGTTCCTCTAGAACGGAGCATTTCACATCAAACCACTCTGAAGGACTTTGTTTACATCTTAACAGCTGAATTATGGAGAAATGCTTTTGGAAATTAGTTCCCCTTTAATGTTATGTGATATCATCTTAACCCTGGTCCCACAGGCCCACTCTCCTGCTCATTCTGTGCTTTTAGTGCTTTAGCACAGCCACTTTAACTCAATAATGGGCTGTTAATGAGCTGATTAGTTGAATCAGGTTTGCTATGAGCTGGTAAAACACTAAAAAGTGAAGGGCAGTGGGCCTCCAGGACCAGGTTTGAGTAACACTGATCAAAGATGTCTGTCTATATTTTAATTCCATCCATATTTGTGATTTACACAAGTGCCCTTTGATGTAAGTGACTTTGTAAGTTTGTATGGTGCCCTGCTGGTGACATCCCCTATAAATAAAAATAATGTGTGGCCACGACTTAGTAAGATGTGGGAACGGGATAATTAAGCCTTGACCACAGCTTCATAAGGCATGATCTCGTCCCCACGCTTTACTAAGTCGTGGCCACACATTATTTTCATTTATGCGGGATGTCACCAGCAGGGCTCTGTAAGTTTGCTTTTTAGATTCATGATCAAATGTAGCTGATGTGGTTTATATCTTTCTTTTTGAACTCACTGTCTTCCTTGATTTACTTACTTATTTATTTATTCGTTTATTTACTTTCTGTCTTTCTTATTTACTTACTTATGACTTATTTTTAACCACTGTTTACTCTTATTTATCTTGTTTTTTCCTGGCTGATATAGATGCTTTCTAGCTTAGAAAAGGCCTCTCGAAATTAAACAAGGGTGATTTCTCTTTCACACAGAACCTGTCCGTTTGTGTCGGGTTACGAAGTTAAATAAATCCACAGTCTCTCCCCTTTTCCAAACAACGAAACACGCGAGAAAGGCTGCTGTAATCCTCCTGAAAGTGTAGACGGGCCATCATCGCTGACCGTATAAGAAGCTTGGCCGCTAGAGGAGCCAGTGTGAGGAGGCAGTGCAGGAGAGGCAGAGACGTTCACCCAAACGGAGATGTGTGGCTGACTGAGCGACTGTGAAGGAAGCCTGATCTTCCCCTCAGGAGCGCTTCTACTGCGAGGATGAGGCACCTCTGAACAGAATTCTCCATAATCCCAGAGAAGAAGCCTCTTTTCTTTAAAATACGATAACCGAGACATCTTGTAGTCGAGTTGCCGGTGAGTAATAGTTTCTCAAAACTCCTCCAGCACTCTCATATGCCGAGTTAGCTCGTTATTGCTCTCTCTCTCTCTCCTTATTTCTCCGTAGCTGCCTGTTAGCACAGGCGGGCTAGCGGCTTGCTTAGCTACTGCTAACGTTAACGTTACCGTCCCAGCCGTTTGTGCTCTAGTTAGCTTGTCATCCTTAGCTGGCTTGTTTTGCGACAGGCTTGAGAACAAAAACACATTTGGCCGGTGTGCAGAGAGTGAAATGCGACTACTTTCTGTAAGTTCGCGGTTTGTTTCCCCTCAAATTTAAAGTTAATGTTCGCGACTTTCTGCACATGAGCTAACATTGAGCTGGCTAGCTCGTTAGCTAACCCAGGTTAGCTGTTTATTTCCTGCTGGCGTGAATTAGCGTTACAGTTCTGTTATGTGGCCGGGTCGGCTCTTGTTTACTAGTCTAACGTTACAAATGTGAGTGTGGCTGTGTACAAAATGTCCTGGTAAAAGTACTAAACGCGTTTAAATGCTTTGTAATCTTCAGAGAAGGTCATTGTTCCTTAGACTGAGATGTTTTCCCGTTCAAAAGTTTGGAGTCACTTGTCATATTAACAGTTGTTATTCAGTAGTAGTTTATACAGTGTAGATTGAGGTGTTATAAACTAAGCAACCAAAGGGTAAACGGATTTTTTTCACAGTTTACAGTATTTTGAGAACAACTGGTATGGCACGAAAAAATAGTAGGTATTACTAAATATTTATCTGTAATTAGCTATTTATAGGACAGTATAAAATTGCCATTAATACATTATATTTTTGAATATGAGGCACTCCAGATCTTAATGTCATTATAAATTTATACAGCTCTCTTGTTAATGGAATAATCTACAATCTCAGTTCTTTTTACTTCATAAATTGTTTGAAACCTCAGAAATATTAGCATAATATTAGAATAATTTTATATGTGTACTAACAATAATTGCTTTATGTTATTCAAAACAGTGACTCCAAATGTTTGAATGACAGTGTAAGTTAATACTTGTGCTGTCAACTCTGAAGGTGCAGATTCCGAGGTGTGAATACATGAAGAGATATTATAAAATAGCTGAAAGATTCCAGCAGTTAGTCCTGTTTCCCCTGAAACTGTATGTGTGATGGACTGTGTTACTACTTGTGTGTGTACGTTTTGACTGTACACTCATCATTGTGAAAATTCTGTCACTGCATGGATTTAAATAGCCTTGCTAGAGAAACAATTGTTATATTTAGATGCTTTTGTTTTCTTTCTTTTGTCATGGAAATGAGATCCACTCAGTTGAGCCTATTTATATCAGGTATACTTTCAGCTCTGCTTTGCAGCTAAAAATACAGCTCATGTCATGTTAAGGGGGGGAATCAATTAATTAATGCTGAAGTTGGCAGAGAACTTGGTGCTCTGCTGTGGTGCTGTATTGATTGGTACAGCATGATGGGAGGAAATGCTGTCTATGCCAATGTGTCTAGACCTAACGTCTGTGTTAGCAGATTTTAGGTTTTAACTGTCTGAGATTAGGCTGCTGCTGCCTGATACCAATAAGTAACCTGTCCCTTTGGTTTTTGTTTTCCACAGTGCTGTGTGGTGGTAAGTCCATGCATGGTGACAGACTGTCCATCCTGGCCTTATTTCTGAAACGCAGCAGGTGAGCGCAGAGCTGCAGACAAGGACTACACAGTATAGAAAGAGGGAAGACATCCAAACGGATGGCCGCACCCTTTGTACCAGTGCCTGTCCCTATGGAAAGGGCCCTGTCAGGGGCTCCTAACCCCAGACGGCCCCAGCGAGCCTCAAGTCTGGGCAGTGCGTCCAGCAGTTCAGAATCCTCCTCCACTAAAGGCCCAGGAGATGAGAGCAGCTTAGGAAGGCGAGGGACCAGCACCGGAGCCTCTGGCTCAGACCGAAGCTGCTTCACTCCGCCCTGTCAGAGCCCCTATACTCGGGCCAGGATGAACGGCTTGGACCCCGCAGTGGAGTACTCCAGCTGCCCACGGCCGGACACACCGCCAGAGACCCCCAGTTGGGAAGAAAGACCCATAACCCCGACAGTGCTGGGTTACGAGGTCATGGAAGAACGAGCCAAGTTCACGGTGAGAGAAAAGCTCCTGGGAGCTTAATCTTTCAGACATGTGCCAAAATAACCAAGCCTCTGAATTTATTCCATTGTTTAATGAAGGCATGTGTCTAGATCATCTAGTGAAAAGCAGACTAATCATCTAAAGGTACAGGAGTCGCTCCAACATGTTCTCACCTAATTGTTGGTGTCCTAATTACCCTACTTCCCTGACCACAAGATTGCTTAGTAAGTGTTTTCAGTTTCTGGAATTTGGTCTCTGGTCTCTGTTGAAGCTCTGTCGGGTCAGTTTCTGATCTTGCTCAAGTATTCGGTACTGTGGCAGCAGTCATGATGGACTGAAGGGTGCAGAGTTGGCTATAGGTCACAGTGTCCAGTCTTTTGAGGTCACATTTTCTCACTTGGCTTGAAAATGCTGATCAGATTCTTTTTAGCACTGTCTCTGTCTTCCTCCCTCTTGTGTTCTGACAAGTAAACTGTAATTTAAAGTTGAACCAGGGGGTGGGCAATATGAACTAAACTTTATATCACAATATTTTTCACTATTTGGACAATAACAGTATCACAGTTAACCCTAATAATTGTTGTTATTTATGATAACTAAAATAAAAATATTAAGATTTGAAAATCAGAATCTTGCAGCCTCTCTTTCGTGTTCTATGCAGATCAATCACAGGTATGTAACTTTATATGCCATTATATATTAGACCTTAAAGCATTAGAAACAAAGCAGTTGAAAAAGAAAATCTAAAAAGCGTAAATTGCTCTGAATGTTTATTCTTTCCTGGAAGTGCCCCTGAGTTACCCTTAAGTTGGAATGACTGGCTTTTTTTCAGCTGCAGGTTGATGTCAGCATGTGGTCATCCAGCATTGCTCAGTTGTTGTGTCAGGTAGGGGATCACGTTGGCTGTGTCACATTTTGCTAGAGGCACTTAATGCACTCCATTCCTGTGAGGGGGAAAACAGTCCCATATTTAAACAGGTCACTCTGCTTCCAACATCCCACCCTGCCTGTTGTTTTTAGCCATACATCCTGTTCATTTGGCTCATGGGGGCTTGATGAAAATTCCACTGCAAGTTGTGATTTTTTTTTTAATTTTTTTTATGAGACTTGTGGAATGTGGCAGAGTTTTCACTGAAACAGGTGACAGAAAGTACCAGTCCTGGATTTGAGGCAAAGCTTAACTGGCTTTATTTTTGCCTTACATTTCTCTGCAGGTAGGAAGTAAAAACAAAGTAGTAGGTTTGCAGTATGTTTGCATAATGTAAATATATTGTGCCAATATTCAGTCTAGATCATGTTTCAGGCAAGTTTATTTATGACATGCAAATGCTGACATTTTGAAACCTACAAACTGAAGCTCAGCTGTGGTGCATTAAAGGTCAGGGCTTTTAAAGGGAAGTCATGAAAATTTGGGGAGTCTATCTTTCAAAGGCTTTCAGTCACAAAAAGTGAATGTGGCAAGCTATGAATGAAAACTGGTTGCTGCCAGTTAGCATCATCTCATTTGCATTAAGCTCTTTTCTTTGATTCATTATTAGTAACATCTCCATGGAGACACTGAGTTCACATCTCCGGAGAGACGCTGAGAGAAACTGTGTGGAGGAACTGTTGACTACAGCTGTGTTCTTTCCTTTTCAGGACATTACCCCACCCACTGTCCTTCTGTTTGTTCTTATGTCACACCTCCTTTGTACACCAGCATATGATTCTTAACAGTACACCATCCTCCCTGTTCCTGAAGCTTATTTTTGGGATGGGGACATTTGGTGTTATGATGTCTTGGGTCAAATTGATCACATTGATGCCAAAAATACACTACTTTGCCTCGTAATCAGGGACACCTTTCTTTTAGCGACACATATTGACCATTTCATCAGGAACACCTTTGTACACTTTGTATGCTGAGTGTAGATGTCTGTATTGTTATGATTATGGGCCTTGAACCTGTTTTGGCTAGTGTCTGTAGTAGCATGGACTTTGCTGTTATCTGCGCTGAAGTCAGGATGTTTGCGTGTATGTATTGTAGTGCGCCCTTCTCGTTGGGCTTGGAATTGTGTGAGTGACCTGGAGAACACATTTGTTTGAGCTTCGGATTAGTATGTTTACATCGGTTCTCTCATCCCACCCTCCTTCTATCCAACTAGGTGGCAGCCTTCTTCCCCAGGCCTCACACTTTAAATAGCCTCTGGAATCACAGATTCGTGCAGCACTAAATGAATGGCTCTCAGCTTTGTGGTGTGGAATGATTTAATGTTTGTGTGGTCAGATACAGGCAGGGCCTGAAGAAAATTGCTCCAGATGCTGCATATTTGGCTCTGTTCTGATGATGTATCTTGAAGGTGGGAAGAGATTTTGAAAAACTGTAAGGGCTTTGAGGCGCATATATCATGGTAGAGTGTTTGAAATATGTTTTGTGGATTTCAAAAAGTCTTAAGTCTTAATAGCTGGCTAATGCAGAAGGAAGCCAAATAGCTAACATTACTCTGACTCCCAGTGGTTATATGATGTATTTGTGGGATGCATGATCTAAATTGTAGTGATAGACTGTTGATGGCCGAACACAAAAAGGATACAAGATCCTGAAATCTGAGAGGTGCAGTACTGGATTAAACAATATTAAATGATGTGACATAAATATTAAATGCTAGTTTTAAGCTGGAATACCCCTTAAATCTTTGTTAAAGTTAGGAGAAAATTAGTGTTTGCTTTTCATAGTACTTTAGTTTTGTAAGGCTTGTTATTCATAAAGGGGGAAAAACTGTCCCTGCTGAACTTACTGGATGGGTGCATACTAGATATTCTCAAAATAAAGGAACCTAGACCCAAATTACCAAGCACCAATGACAAAATAATAAAAAAGAGCAAAGCTGCTGCCAAAGTTAGTTTACTGATGATGTTGCATATTACAAAAAAATTGTGCTCAGAAGTGCAAACAAAAAACAAACAAAAGAGAACAAAGCGAATAAATGGCAATGCTTATCTATAGAAGTGCCAATAAACATTTATTTGGATGATATTCTTAACAGATGTGTAGTAAAACGTAGTTGCTGTTCCCTCTTTCGGCAGGTGTATAAGATTCTGGTGAGGAAGTCTCAGGAGGAGAGCTGGGTGGTGTTTCGGCGCTACACAGACTTTTCTAGACTCAACGACAAGGTCAGTCTCAGTCCCTCATCAAGAGGGTTTTATGTATCAGTGATATTCCCTGTACTGTCTGGGTCATTATTTTACGACTACTGCAAATTTGCCACATTGTCTTACATTTCCATTGTTTTGCCTTTGACTCGAAGCCAAAAGAAGGCTTTTGCAGGTTCTGCAGGCGTAAATGTCCAGAGGAAAAAATTGCTTAACTCTCAACAGGAAACAAGGCCACACAGTGTGTGAACAGGAGAATGTGTGGTTTCGCCATTTGCATGTTTTCACTTACCTTGCTTTTTTTTCCAGTGTAAGATAATATCTTTGGTTGTTGTGTCTGTTTGTATTCTGCATATGCTTCATTTTGCAATGCTCCTTTTTATATGTATGCTGTGACTTCATCTCTGCTCCAGTTTGTATGCTTTTATCATGTGTGTTTGTTTTCTGTGTATGCATTTTAAATTCATTTAATGTTTGCGTGCAGAGGCAAGGAATACCCTTTTACCAGCCACTTGACTGCTGCATGGCCCTTACCCCATGGGAGCTAATTACTCCAGTGAACCAGTTACAAACCAGCTGTGCTAGTGCTGAGCATGCTGGCCTCAGCACATAGGATGAACGCATTACACAGACCCTAAACTGGCATCAAAATGTTGTTTTCTCTATTTTGCCATATTATTAGATCAGCCTACTTTGAACAGGGTTGGGAAAGTCTTCAAACAGTTGATTAATTAAATGAAGTGTGTACTTGCCTGGTTGGATTGAGAACCTGTAACCACACCAGCCCTTTGCGAATAAGATTGGTGACCTCTGGGCTAAAGGATGGCTAATATGCATGAAAAAAAAGATGCGCTATAATCTCAAACTGTGCACTCACAAGGTGTTACAACACAATTTGTGTCTAATAAAGTGAAGCTATCTGTTGGAAATTCTTATTCATATTCTCAGTACAGTCGTTCTCACACAAAAGGGAAGACCTTTGTATACATTGTTTTATTACTGTATTACAGAGTGATTTAATATTCAACTATGAATCCAAAACAAAGTGAACTGAACTTTTGAAACCCCAACAGGGACTGAGACAGCTTAGTTCGATGTGCAGACTGAGCTGTTTTGTACAGCCTTGGCAGTGTGGTGCATCCTTTAGTTTTGGGAGCTGACCTGGTGTCTGAGTGGAGTGTGGAAGTGATTAGGCCAAAACCCCGTTTCCATGCACACAAAGCCTTACTGTTCCTCTGTAAACCCAGAGCCAGAGCCAGCCAACTGACCCAGCCTCTGTCTACACACACCACCAGTGCACTGTTAAAACCTGCTGCTCACTTTCATCCCCAACTCTCCAGGGTAGTTTGGGAGAAAGGGGTGATATTTTGACACAACCTGATGGATTTGCCCTTTTCAGAGAGCAGCATTTTTGTTCAGTTTGAAAAAAGGGTGGAAAAGTTGGGCGTTAGGTGGCGTTCGTGCTGAGGGCTTAGGGATGTTCTGCTGCTCTCCTACAGTATGTATTGAGTTGAAATGAGCCCTGCGTGAATGGGGTCAGCACTGCTGTAATTGCGCTTTGTCTCAACACAACCAGTCTAGCTGGTTTTTCCACAAGCTTGTTTTGCAATGTACTGGCCTTATCCCACACTTGGGTTGGGCAATGTAATACGCACATGACAGTATTTTGAAATTGATACTATCAGGCATTTTAAGCACTTGCCCTAATGAATGCATTCACATCATATTCTCTTTAGTTCCACTAACCGTTAGACAGATGCAAGCCTTATCGAGCTCCACCTGCCACCTGGCGAGTGAAGTAATTATCCTAATTATTGCATAAACCACCTTGAACACCAGTAAACAGTTTTGTAGTAAACAAAATTTGCACTCTGAACTGTCATACTTTTGTCTTCCATCCTTTTTGTCTCATGCATAGATTACATTGTGGAAAAATATTGTTACTATGATGATCTGAATGTATTGTAATATCATATTTAGAGCATTGTGCATTCATTGTTGGTATTTTGTTGTCATAGATGTACAGTAAGTTGATAAGTGCAATATGTATGACAAAGTAATGTTGATCTGCGTGTTTTTTTTTTCTTTCTTTTTTTTCCTCCAGTTGAAGGAGATGTTTCCTGGGTTCCGGCTCTCTCTGCCACCTAAGCGCTGGTTTAAAGATAACTATAATGCAGACTTCCTGGAGGACAGACAGTTAGGCCTGCAGGCCTTCCTACAAAACCTGGTGGCTCACAAAGACATCGCCAACTGGTGAGCAGATGGTCCTCCCTCCCCTGAGCTCTTATCTGACCTTAGTCTGCTCTGCCAGCCTGCCAAAATGTGCTCCCCTTTCTGGAAAAACAAACTTGAGTTATTTGGTACACTTTTAAGTCACAACATGTTTGATATCTCAGCAGTAGTGCTGGGCAATATATTGTCTGTATATCGGTGTTGCACAGCAGGTTTTGAGGTACTGATAGATACAAACGTTTAACTGCAGTGTGTGTAATTTACTGGCTGCTATACCCTGTTTTGAAAGAACGCTTCAAAATACATGAAAGTTTCCCTTCTGCCGTCAAAGTTTGCAATGCTCTGTACTCTTTGGTATAATTTTAAAAGAAGAAAACAAGCACAAAGCAGTCCAATAAAAAAAGGCTGTCAGGTTTAGAAGGCATTCTTTTAGTATAGAGAACTTTGGAAGTGTAGGTTTATTAACTTCTAATGCAAACTTAAATATCATCCGATGTCATATATATTAGGAAAATACTGTGATATTGAGTCTCATCGTCACCCAACACTACTTAACAGTCCTAAAAGATACAGCACATTTGTTTGTAACAAATAAGTAGGTCACATGCATACATGCGTGCGCTGCCCCTCATTGTCCTGAGGTTAGTTAGCGTTCTGTCCTGAATGCATTGTTCAAGACCGTCTGGCATGCAGTAAATATGCTCCAGACTCTCCCTCTGGCAGCTTTCCTCACTCATACACGATAGCCCATCAGAGGGTGTTAAATGGATATACTTAAAGTTATACAAAGTTGGCTGCTGTCCAGGCCTTTGCAGTTGATCATCCTAAGCTATATTAGTAGGAAGTCTATATGTGACATTGGAGGAAAACTGATATCCTGTTTCATATGCAAACAAGTCACATTGTTTAATAGTCATCTCCATGCTCACTTCCCTGTAGAGTTACTGTGTGTTATCATAGCCGTTTGCTGAAACTTTGTGTCTGATGAGTTATTTTCAGCGTAGAGCTGCAAGATATGTCATCTGTACTAGTATATCGGTACTGAAGTTGAACTAAAGTATTGATTTTTAGTATTAGAGAAACGTACCTGCAGTATGTCATATGTGCCTCATATTGTTTTCAAAGAACAATTCAAAATAAATAGTTTTCTTTTTTTGTATAATTTCTTGAGAAACAGAACAAAGCAGCCGAATTAAACAAGCACAGGAATAAATTTCAGGATTGCACGGCAGTCTTTTAACGTGGGGCAGAAGAATGGGTTTATTAACTTTATTACTGCAAACTGTGATATATATTCAGAAAACATCATGAGGGTGAAATTTATCGATACTGCCCCAGCATTAGTTCAGTTTGTTTGTGTATGTGCGCTTTTGCAGTGTTGCTGTACGAGAGTTCCTTTGTCTGGATGACCCACCAGGTCCTTTCGACAGTCTGGAGGAGAGTCGGGTAAGACCTGAAACCACCTAGTGTAGGCTCAATAGCTTTGGATATATGCTCACACAGCATCACACAGAAATCTCTCTGACTCTGTTGAACTGTTTTCCCTCTGTTTTCAGCATGTCTGTTTTTTATGCCAAGGTGCTGCAACAGGCAGAGCCAGAGAGCTGAACATTAGACAGCTCTCTCATTAGCATGGCTGGCTCTCAGCAGCCTGTCCACATCCCTCCAGCCTCTAGACAGACTGTGCTGACAGACAGAGGCTATACTGAACCATCTAATAATCGCTCTCTCCCTCTTTGTCTGTTTCTCTTTATCCATCTTTTTTTCTTTCTTGTTTCTGTCTTTGTTTATATCTCTCTCTCTCTTCCAGGCGTTCTGTGAGACTCTGGAGGAGAGTAACTACCGGCTGCAGAAGGAGCTGCTGGAAAAACAGAGGGAGATCAGCACCTTAAAGAAGCTGCTGGAGGAGAAAGAGCTCTACATACACCTGCTTGAAAAAAGGATCAAGTAAGGGCATTAGTCAGTAACACTTTCCTAGGCCCTGCTACATAACACTGATGTAACTATTCCATAAACATGTCATATACTGTCATGAGTTGTCTCAGCAGATGTTCAGTAATATAACAGGATGATGTTACTATTACTGGCAGTTGTCATGACAGACGACTTGATGTTTGTCATGACAGCTAATCCCGCATCCTAATTTTTGCTAAACATACTCTAGTTAGCTGTCATGACAGACTTTTACAGATGCACTTTATGACATGACGTTGTTATATTACTCTACGTAATGAGGCTGTTTACACCTTGCACAACATGCGTTTTCAGTCATCAGCTGATGTTCATTTAGCTGCATGAAAAGCGTGATCGGATTACAATTGGATCACTCAAACCACTTTCAGAGGTGGTCAGAGACGGATCTTGACCACATTTAACCGAAGTGTAAACAGAATGTTGAGGTGCTTTTTATGAGAGAAAGTAAAATTGGATCTCATTTGGTCACACGGGACACGTTTTAGAAAAAGTACCAGGCCAAATTGAATCTAGGCCTGATCCATGCATGAAACGCATGTTAATGGCATAGTTATGTCAATGTTATGTAGCAGGGTTCAAGTAAAGTGTTTCCTCATTAGTTTTATGAGCAATTTTTGCTGTGCCAGTGCACCCCCAACTGTAGCTATGTCATAGTATCTAAATATTAGGGTTTCTGTTCTTGAGCACTGATGCTACATATAAAGCTATGACCATTTATTACATGTATGTGTGTATCTGTCTGTGTGGTTGCCTGTGTACGCTTGCGTGTGCATCCTGGTGTACACCTGTGGTTTCAGTGGCGAGTCTCTGACTCCAGAGAGCCCTTGTGGTCTGTCTGCTCAAGGCAGTGAGAGCAGTGTGGATGCAGATGGAGAGGTGGAGTCCTCTACCGCCGAGGCAGATCAGGACATGCCAGAGGAAAACGGGTACGGCTCACTTCCACTCCTTAACACACATACACACACGCTCAAACATTAAATCCATTCTTGGAACAACGGATTTTTCCACATATGTCGTCTGCTTCTCCAGCTCTCAACACTTAACGGTCTTCTATTTGTGGGTTTTTTGGATGCTAAACATTTTCAGCAGGAGCTGGCAGCGTGCCTGTTTCCCAGGCAGCTTTAAGACACTTGCAGCTTTGTTCCCACTGTGGCTTACACACACTGCTGATCCCCATTGATCATTTGGCTCAATTAAGCTGTGCTCAGAGTTTGACTGGCCCCAAAAACCTGCCCCCTCCCCTCAACCTTCAAGCCATGTTTTTGTATGGCTGGACCTCTTTGGAGCAATACAAATTACCTTAAAAGCTTTACAGAATACACCTCCCCCCCAAACACACATACACACACATGCACACCCACACACTCCCAATCCCCTAACTCAATTTAGCTAATGCATGTGGGTTTGTGCGTTTGGAGTGGTATCACACTCATGGTAATAAGTAAAGCAGGTTATGTGCTGCATGACAAAACTATGAACATGACGGTGCCAAGCTCCATATTCAGTGTTCATGTATCATATTTGGGTGAAAAAAGCAGGGGGCCATAAAGAAGCAGTATTCTGCTGTTGAGAATGATCCACAGGGCATATTTAATTAGGAATATTCACTTTGGCTGGCCTCCATTTTTATGCAGCTCTATAAATTGCTAGATTGTTCTGTGGCCGATTCAATGCCAGTGTGGAAACATTTTTGTGGACGGGCTGGAGAGTGATGCGGTTGATATTGAGTTAGCCTCCATTTCCAAGCAGCTACGCTCTCCCTGCAATCGGCCCTGCCCTTTTAGTGGTGGAGGCATGTGGACTGCGTTTCAAGTCAGCTTTCTCTGCAAATCAAATAGCCACAGAGACAGGATGAGGCAGGACATTCTGCATATAGGCACATATTCTTCCTCTAGATTGGAACATAGCCAGTCAGGTTTACACCATTTATTTCTGGGTGTTGCACCTGATCCAAACATCATTGTGTTACTACTCATTTGAGCTGATACTGAGATGAAATGTCCCAGATTGTGATCTGTGACCCTCTTAAAACCTTCTGTTTTTACCTTCCTTCAGCCAGGCAGAGCCTCTTTGACCTATAGTGCAGTAGTTTGAGGTACTGACTCCATTCTACATGTTGTTTTTAACCCTATGTCTTGACACTCTTGTATCTGTATCGTCTTGCCTGGTCGAGCAGTTGTGTATATAAAAGTCTCCCCATGATACATTCCCACAGACCTGTCATTGTTGCAGGTGCTCATTTAAAGACTAAACCCCAGTAGTCATGGTCAAGCTTGACTATTTTCGCACTGTTTGCACTGCCTATCTTTCTCGCATTCTCTCCTACTTTCTATGTCTCCACTCTTAAAAATAAAGGTGGCAGAAAAGAGTTCTCTAGAGTGATGCTATAAAAGAACCATTTTTGGTTCCCTAAGGGACCATTTGATGGTTGACTATTGAAAAAAAACCATTTATAAATAGGATGTGTGCACAGTCTTTTTTTAAATTTTAGAGTAGGGATGGATGATATGGCAAAAATATAATATTACGATAATTCAAGACATTTTCACAATATGCATCATGATATTTAGATTTTCTGAGGATTAATCAGTGATGGCACATTTTAAAAAATACTTACTTAATATACTGGGTGCAATGATTTTTTATTCAGTGTTTCACATACAGCGCTGCACTAAATCTAATTTACCATGCCAGACAGGTTTATAATGGAACATGCAGTTGATCAGTGTTTAAGTACTGATGAAATTCATGATACACCCAGAAAGGCATATTGTGACATAATGTGATGTAATTTGTCACAATATATGTAAATATTGACACATTGCCCACCCCTAGTTTAAAGAACCCCCACATAAGGTAAAAGTTCTATACCAATTTTGGGTGTTTCTCCAAGCCAAGAACGATTTAGGAACCTTAATTTTTAAGAATGTCTCGTTTGCTCTGTTTTTCTTGTCAATTAGGTTTCCTTCAGTGTGTAGCTTTAATATTAAAGTGACCCAGTCTTCATGTCTGTTTTCTTCATGACTCAGAATGTAAGCAGAAACGTTCCTAACGCAAGGTTTGTGTCAGTCCTCAACTGTCTTGTCTTGTGTCCTTCAGAGTCCACTGCAGAGTTAGCAGTTATTGTGCTGTCTGAGTGAATGCTGTTTCTGCATGCTAAATCGTTCTATCTCTGTTCTTTCAGCAGTTGTGAGAAGCAGGCGTCACGGAGCTCATCGTCATGCTGGTGCGGGCCGGCCATTAGCCGCTCTCCTCCAGTCATCCAGGTCACTCAGCTGGAAAAGTGAACTACAACCAGTACTGCACTTCCTTTCCTCGCTCTTGTCTTTGTTCTCCGTCTCTCTGTTCTCTTGCACTCTATTCTCTATGCTGCAGTGAGATGCCAGTCTCTCCTAACTTCATGGTTGATGAACTGCGACAGACAGACAGGGGTTGTCTGTCTGTGGTCAGCATCAAAAACCATAACTGAAGATCAGACAGGCATGCTCACCCATAAGATTCGTGAAAGGAAGCAGACCTGTCCGGGAGAGGGGCTGAAATCTGGAATATCTTTTAAAACAACAGAGCTTCTTCTGAATGCACTGTGGATAATCTGAATGTGCTCCATTCATTTGCAGACAAATATAATTACTTCAGACTCTTCTAGTCATGAATTGACTGGAGGAAAAAGGCTTCTTCAAAGCTGCATTTACTGAGGACTGCAATATCTACCTTATGGTGGACGACCAGCCAAAGAGGGCTTCTCAACCAAAATATACGGACGGAGACTAACTTAATTTTTGCTCCTTAAACCAGAGGCATCTCATATAATGTCAACTTTGTGACAATCCAGAAACAGAGACTGCATTTGCTCTCTTGCTCTCTTCAATGTCTAAAAACACACAACAGAGCAGTGCCCCTTGTGGCTAATACAGCTACTGCAGTCATCAACTCAGGAAGGACAATAACAAAGACTGAGATTTCCCCTGTGCTGCTGTCATATTATCAGGGCTGTGATCACAAGACCCAGTGTAAAAAAACTATAACTCCAGTTGGTCTCTGGTTTAAAGCCTCCGTCTCTGAATTTTGCCTTTTGTGTCATCGTGTTGCTTCGCAACGCACTGCCATAGCTTCATTGATAATAGGAGGGCAAAGAATATGTGTAGGGGGATGAAAATATTTGAATTTTATAAGCCTGAACTTGTCTTGTTTACTCACTGTGATGAATTTAAGGCACGTTTCAAATATCATGCAGGCTTTTTTTGTTGATGTCACGCAATGCTTGTGCAGTAATTATTGTGAAGGTGTAAACACTAAGTGAACTTTTAACAACCATGGGTTTTCTGTGGAGTTGATTTTGATTTTGTACCTTTCCTGTCATCGTAGATGCAGCTTGAGGTGCAGTCTACAGGATCATATGTTGATCTACACTAGTAATACTTTAGTGTGATCAGTCAGTCTCTACACTTCAACTCCCTTTACTCACATTTCATATGGGTCTGTACTGTTTAACACACTTGTGCATTTGCTATACTAGACTTCAGACCCAAATGCGATTGCACTGTGTAGATCATTTTAGCTGTTGGAGAGAATGATCAAAATGATTGCCGGTCATCGTAGAATAATCTTTGTGCTTTAATGCCCTTGGGGACAAGCACTTCTGTGACTGTAATTCAAAATCGAAGTTGATAGAAGAAGCAGGTGTTTTAATCTAGGCCATCCTTGTGGCTCTTATAAGAATTATGTCCAGCATTGTGACTACATTTTATACGCAGATGATGGAAAAACACCTTTAAACTTTGACATTAACCTGTCCATGTTCTGTGTTCTTTTATGGCAACTACTGGAACGATTAAGACCAGCTTTACAGAAAGTTGGAAAAAAAATTCCCGTTCAGCCTAATGAGAGACTGTATTAACAACAAAAAGTTGTTTAGAGTTGCTGCTAGAGTTTGTAGTTGACAATGTGCTGTTATCAAGCTGGACTGTGTCATCGTTGTCCGGTTGGATGTGGCAATGTCAAATTTGTGGGGATGCACCAATATAGGAATTGTGGGCCGAAGCTGATATCCAATATTTTGTTTCTACATATGTCTGCTGATATACACATTTATAAAATCTAGATATAACTAGATTATGGAGAAATTTATGGAGAAATTTAATATTTTTTCTGGGGTTACAAATGCAGTAAAATTGAAAAAATGCAGACACTGTAGCTCAGTCATCAAAGCGCTTTGCTCTTCCAGAGTGCAATAAATACGTCTTCAGATATTGGTCATATTTTAACATCTGTCTAATGCTGAGGTGTATATGTGCGTGCATAACTTTTTTTTAAAGCTGTTACCTGCCGATACTGATATAATTCCAGTGTTATTATGCATTCCTACAAATCTGCCACCATGTTAACTTTGGCACATTTCTTATGCAACACTAAAAATAGTCCTAACAGTGTGACATGCACCTTGCATGCACCTACAAAGTAAATAGCATTTGAAATTCAAGTATTTTAAGGGATAAACTGTTTTGTGTCATACAGTCTCTTATTAGATTGAACAGTAATTCTGCTAATATTCCATGAAGGACATAAAACGTCTGCTGTTGCTATGCAAGAACACGTTTATGGGTGATGCCTGGATAGATTAACTCAATTTGAGCCATTGTCAACCAACCTGAACCAGTCACATCACATACGCAATGCTAATTTTACTGGCTGATTGCGATGTCATAATGAAATGTGTGTGATGTCACAATAGTAATGAATACAGGAGTATGTAGAGACGTTAAACCCATACTTAAAAAAGACATTAAAAAAGAAAAACACTAGTGGGGTACATGTTGTTGGGGTCACTAAAAGCTAGCACTTGTGTTTAGTGTGTACACATATTTAGAGCATCTCTATCAAAGCTAAACTTGGCACAGTCCAAGCAGGAAATTGCTGAGTCAAGGTTCGTAAATGGCTGCAGCAAGTCACATGTTGCACTTTAAGGTCCTGAGGGATTGTGGGATTGTGGTGTACAATGCTTCTAGGCTAGCAGGTGAAGCTTCCTTATGTTTGAATGCTACTTTTAGCTTCAAATGAAGCGCAGTGCCTTTTCCCTGCTGTTCATATATGTGTCCTTTAGTTTGTGTGTGTGTGTGTGTGTGTGTGTGTGTGTGTGATACGTATGCAGGTCCTTCCCAAATCAACCTCAGCAACCCTGCTAACATAGTGCCTTGCATCTCCTTCCCTTATTGTAATTTTATCTGTGTGTCTCACAAATTGAGTTGCTGTCCTTTTTTCTCTCTTCAATAGGGTTGATGCCACCTGCAGAATGGCTGCTTAGGTGGTAGCAGATTGTTTTACTTGATTTAGTGGATGAAAGATGGTCTTCATCTATGTTGAAACTGTGTTTACTCGGTCTGCTGCTGGCAAACAGGATTCTTTGCCAGTTATAATGTCCTCTGTAGGATTTCATTCTTTCACTATTTAACTAAACTGCACATTTAACACTTGACATGTTGTTAATATATGACAGCAAATGAAAGTTTGTGTAATGGTGAGTAGGTTAAGCGAATAGGAATTCATGTCTTTGGGATTATGAGAGTTTACCTTTCAAAACGTCTGATGATAAATCTTATGCAACTTCTCAGTAGATGCAATTCAAAGGTGTCAACATCTGTCAGTTTTAATGTTTTTTTTTGTGCTGTCAAATAGCCGTACATCTGTTTTCTTTTTTTTTTTACCAATAACTTGTCATTGAAAAGTAGGAATGTAGAATGGAATTGGGTGTGATATCTTTTTCAGATCATCAAAACTTATGTTTTTTTGGTCACATAATAGATTATCTTTTGAGGGATAATAAACATTTTCAGTGGAGGTATTTTCACTTCATTCTAATGTGGTGGATTATTTATTTGTCTCTTAATCAGTGCACTGGTGTGTGTTTATTACAAACTTTCCTTTGCAAAATATTTTTGGGCATTAGGGGGCAGTAGTTACTCTCATTTAAACCATTGCAGGAGGAACTCTTACAGTAGCATGTTTACTTATTTGTTAGCACAATTTTGTTATACATGTATGATTTGAGATATGCAGCACCTGTAAAATGTGGTCTTTAGGGAAAAGCATGAATGATACGTCACTCCAGGGCTGAGCAATTCATCTTTTTTATATTGAAATTGTAATTTTAAAAAGTGGAAGAGCTGCAATTTTCGTTCTATTCCATGTTATGTACATTGTGTTAAGTTTTAGGAGGGGAAAGTTTATCTTATGAGGCAGAGCTCATGAACTGGCAGTCTGACACACAATTCAGCAATTCATTCTTGAGGGTAAAAGGTCTGTTTAATTTTCTGAGAGTATATTAAACTGATCCATATTGCGTAACCACAATACAAATCAGAAACATTGCAATTAGGTATTTACCCTGAATTCTTCATCCCTGATACACTCACTGGCCACTGTAACTTGTATCTGCACACATTGTCCATTTTATCACAATTACCATATAGGTGCATTCTGAAGTTCTACTACTATAGATGACAGCCCCTCTGTTTCTCTGCATGTTAGTTCAAATTTACTTATGTTCAACAATGGTCCAGACCACCACAGGACCACCCCTGAACAGGTATTATTTGGGTGGTGGATCATTCTCAGCACTGCAGTGACACTGACATGGTAGTGACGTGTTAACTTGGAGCTACACAGAGTGGTACTGGAGTTTAGACAGCTCAGTGTTGGGCTGAGAATAGACCACCAACCACAAATATTGGTCTCACTTTATTTGGACAGTCCACTATAGTCTTCTGTATATTATCTACAGATGTCCAAATTGTTAACAAACTATCTGTTGAAACTCAGCTGATTCTAAACAGTGGTGGGGTTAGGGTTAGGACCAGTGTGAGGGTTGGGTTTAGGTTTTGGGTTGAGGTTAGGGTTAGGATTAGAGCAGGTTTAGAGTTAAAGAAAGTTGTGGTCAGTTTCGGAGATATTTAGTTGAATATAACCTGAAAATAAATTAAGTATCTACAAGCATCTAAAGTGGACTATCCAAAGAAACTGTTACACAAATATATAAGAGGGAACGAACAATGATCTTAGATACAGGGTAAGTGTACCTTATGAAGTGGCCAGTGAGTATCATGTAAGATGGATGACAAACTCCAGTCCTGAAGGCCTGGGGTCCAGCGCGGTTTGGTGATTTTCCTACTCAAACACACCTGAATCAACTCAGCATAATTTCTAGGCTAGTGGGTGTGTTGAGCAGGAAACAATTTAAACCATGCCGGTCTCCAGCCCTCCAGGACAAAAGTTCTCCACCACTGGTATAAGATACGAACGTCAGGTCTGTCAAGTTGAATCTATGCAAGTTTCAGCTACTAGGTTTAGAAACTAAAAAGTTGAGGGGTCCTGTCTAGAGATTGGATGAGGGTTTCATTACCTAAATGCCACACAGAGTTCAATTCTGCCATAAATCACAAGGGTGTTAACATTTATCCCCATCCATCATGTTATTGTTGTATGTTTCTAGTCAGAAGTTGACCCGTGACTTATGAGTGACCTCTACTTGCCAGGAGCAATAACAAAACTAGTGCAATCCTGGCCGAAGCCAAGAAGTGGTTTATTTCATTTAGGGGGCTTTGAAAATGCTACAGGTGAGCTTACAAGTTATCACAGCATGCAATGTAGTCAAAGAGCAGAGCACCACAGCGTAAAACAGCACAGCTTTAGCCTGATTTACAGCTCCTTGGCGTTGTGCAGGACCTTGGTGTCTGGAAGCTGTTAGCAGGAGCAGGGGGATATAAGGCATTTTGGAACTGCAGACCTTTGCTTTCACTTAAACTTACTTTAATGCCTTACAGTACACAAGGCCATCAGTTAAAGCACAGCGAGAGATTTGTAATATGTATGAATTATTGTTTCAAATGAACATTAAACAGTGAAACTACACAATCGTAATAGGGATCATATTTGATGTTAAGGATTTATAGTAAGCTGTCACATGTGGAACTCTCCAGATGTATATCAATATATCATATATTGCTGTCATATAAGCTTCACTGGAGCGTTTCCTATTTGACTGTTGTTCCAGTGATGGTGAGAATGAGAGATTTCACTCTTACTCCAGTGCTTTTGCTATATCAATAACCTGAGGCCTGTTCTCAGTCTCCGTGTAAACAATAAGTAAAGGCTCAGGCTCCAACGACTGAGATGAAAGCCGT